TCGCTCTCTAGACGGTACAGTGAAACGAAACAGGATGTCGTTCGATAAATTTCGAAATAAATCGCGAAAACTTACTGCTACGAACCTTCATCATACACTGTCGCCTTCCTCTTACGTAGTGCTGCTATATTTATTCGAAAAGTTGCGTAAATTCTGGCTTGTATCGCGATAGAGGTAAATAGAAGTAGACGTTTGGGAGGCAGTAGTATAACCATAAAAATACTGCGCCAGTCTCGAGAAACTGATAAATTGTCTAATATTTTCAGCTGTACGGTACAAGTTACTATCGCACTTGTTAGGAAATTGAAGGAACCTAAGCAGAAATCATGTAGAACGTACTAGTTTCTATGAAAAAATGAGAAATCAGTAGTACAACCGTACGGTATCGACGACAGACACTCCTATATACTTAATATCAATTCAAAAATTAACACATCGAATCTAAAAGTTCAGTGACAATGTATCACAAGTGAAAATCTTCAAAAATTATGCTACAAAATCATGCTACGTGTTTTCCCCGAATACTTTCGTCACGACTGCCAATAAATCGACCGGCGATTCTTCGTATCTCGCGAAGATTTAATACTGCATTCCTAGGAGACATTCGGCGCGGGTATTCTCTATGAAATTCGAGCGGAACAGCGTCGCCCTAAGTGGAGTAACAATAAAACGGGCCGCGTCTGTAGGTATGCGACGCAACGCGCCAGGAATTCGCGGACGCTGAATTCCTCGTGTAACCGAACGCGGCTCGCATTGTTGCGCGGAAAAACGATCGGGCAACCGCTGGATGCTCGACACCCGGCCTGACCGGCCCAGCTTTCCAATTACATTACCGCAGAGAGGCTGGAGAGGAAGCTGCAACGACCGCCGAGAGAAAAGACGGCGCGAAAGAAACGGCGCGATAGAAAAGTGCCGAGGAAAAAGAAAGGGAGAGAGAGAGAGAGAGAGTGGTGAAGAGGTGAAGAAGTAGCGGAAGAGGAAAGTTGGCTGCTTTTCCACGCCATGTGCTTTAAACGCGGCCTCAGTGTTCCCACGAGCAACGGAGAATGGAAAATTGAAGCCGATACGATTATTCTGTCTGTTGTTTGACGCTGTACACATAGACCAAGAAACAAAGTAGCGTGAAACAGGGGGAGGGTTATAATGCGTACGAATGGCGAATTACCTCGAGTGCCAATGACGTGGAAAGAGAGGAAGTTGGTCGATGCAAAGGTAAATGGACGAAAAACGATTAAGAAAGCAAGTGCTTTAGACCAGTGGTATATTTAATTCAAGGGAAAAGCAATTCTGATTATATTCTAGATTCCAATTTGCCAATTTGTTAAATTTTCAATTACTTTACATTCCGTTTCTCTCTACACTCTAGAAATGTGAAGCAATCGAAACAGACCAAAGAAACTCAATCCCGTATATAGCAAAGAATACTTTTATTTGCTTGATTAAATTCTTATTTCCACTTACTGTCGCGGATCGACGATAGTCTATACACCGTAGATTATGCTGAAGAAAAGTTTCCGAATGGAGATCGAACAGAGGATGCTGAAGACAGAGAAGGGCGGAGTCGAGGCAGGCGGTTCGGCCTAATTAGGCGGTTCCAGGATTCGGTGGCACGCGCAGAAACAGGAAATTGTTCAGACAGCGTTTCCACCTCTTGAAAAGCAGTTACAGATACTTGCTCGCTGAACCTTTGACTAACTTCCTGCGCCTGTAACGAGCCGCCGCCGTCGTCGTCAAAGCTCTCCAAAAACATTTAATGCTCGCGTCTGTTCCGCGGCTGGTGCTTGTACCCGTTCAAACGCGGCTAGATACCGACACGTTGCCTATGAAAAGTCGTCAGTGGTTCTCAATTCGAAATAAGCTAATCTCTCTTCGTGAACGTTTAAATCGTGGAAAATCAAGCTTTTATGCGTCGAAACCAGAAAATTGCACAGAGGAGGGGAAACTTGAATGTTCCGAAGAAGACGTCTACGGTCGTTTCTTAAGAAGGTTTCTCGGCTCTCTTACGAGATATATTGCCGAATTTTGCCCGGTTTCAAACAAGCCAAAAGCTGAGTATCACTATTATACTTGTTCACTGTGCACGTAAACGCGGGGCAGAGGCAAGAATGCACGTCAGAATGCAGGGCGAAACGCGTTAAAGGTGGTGCTTGGCGGTAAGAAGAGCGTGAATTTCAGCAAACGTCGGCTTAACCCGCGCCGACTTAACACCGCCAAAGCCGGTAACAGTCAAGGAGTTGTATGTAAATCATCCCGGAGCGTTGAACGCGGCCTATAATTCTAAGACAATAACGGGAACAGAGGGGGCTTCTTTGCCTAATGAGAAGCTGCTTGTTGCGCCGTCTAACCGTGTGGCTCTTACATCCGTCACGAGTATTACGGAATGAGAAATTGCTCGAAGATTGAGATCGAGTGGCTTCACTTCGGGGGATTACACGCCTTGGAATTTCTCCGATACGTCTTCCCTCTGATGGACAAATACAAGCAACTTGCACCGGCTGGAATACACCGTTACACTTAAATGAATAAATAAATTCTGCACCGAGTATTTTCAACTAAAGAAAAATCTGAATGATCAATCTTTCAATGTCCTTCGTGAAACGAGTAAATAAAATACCAGCAGAATACGTCCGATGAGGAAAGAAAGAGAGAAACAAATCGTTCTTTCCTCTTCGAGAATATTCTTAAGATCAACTTCTGAAAGTCCTTTTGTGAAAGACCAAACAGAATACTAATTGAACACGGTCACCGAAGAAGAAAGCAACTGTGCTATATCACGTAAAAAAAGAATACCAAAAATCAGCTCTTAGAAGTCTTTCGTAAGACAGCAAGTAGGACACCAATTAAACATGTTCGATCTAAACAAAGCCAATTAATTCTTTTTGCTGTATATGAGACGGCGAAAGTTAACCCTCGAGAGATCTTTCTAAAGGTAAAATAATAAAAAGAAAGTTCCTTCAGAAATTTCGTCCTAATGCCAGAGCCTAAGGCTCTAGTATTCTACTAGACCGCCTAAGGTCGTTATTTACCCCGTGAATTCTTCACGAATTCCTGTGCCGCCCAGTTTCGTGTGTTTCTACTATTTTCCGTCTGTTTCTAGTAAACGTAATGAAACCACAATGTAAAGCTTCCAAGCCTACACACACAGACTCGTTCTGGAGGCCGTAGTACAGACACATTCACATAGAACGAGACCAGCCAGAGGTTGGATTTTCGCGAAACCCTCAAATAGGGACGCCCTCGGCACAATGAAGTTTGTAAAAGAAAACAAAACAGAGTCGACCCTGACCGCTCCTATGCTCCATGAATTCATTGAAATTAGAGGCACGGGTATTATTCTATTCTGGTGGAAATACACTGGCAACAGCCCCGGCTACGAGATTATAATCCTCGATTTATGTCAGACATTTTTACGTCCAACGGACATATACGTCGTAATACATACATTCTGGGAGAGAAAATGTGCACAGACACTTTGATATTTTTCCAATTATTCTCCGAACAATGACTAATTACGCTGCCTTACAGTCAACTTCAGAGTTGAGGCTTTTGAAAAGGATCTGCTTGGCAGAAAGTTAGATTTTTCTCCAAAGCTGCGCTTTTAATGTTAACAATACCAATTTTTCTATTTGCATTCTATCGAACCTGATCCAATTTTCTTATCTTCGTTTTGTCCACTTGGAGTCTCCGTGACCGGTTATTGGTTGCATCCCTTGAGGACTTTGCTCGAAAACTTTGATCATATCACGCGAGGCTCTGAACAATGGAAAAACGGGGGGAGGACGAGCAAAATATTCTGGCGGCGTGTAAGCGATTGTGTAAGTTACCGGGTAATCGCCTTAGCGAACTTCGAAACGGTAATTAATTCCCAAAGAACGACGCCGTAACGAGCTTCTTACATAACGAGTAGTCCGTTTTAATTATACATCATCGCCTCAGGAAGAGAAAGAGAGAAAGACGGAGAGAGAGGGAGAGAGGTACGAAGAAGGGGTCCTACGACGACGAACTCTCTAAGATTTCGCGAATCCATCGGAATACATTAAAGCGAAACAATCCGCCGGCACTTCCGGAGTGAACGAATGAAATTGAAATTGAATCTCCGTCCGGGCGGGTTGAAAACACCGTCCACCTCCGAGTTCCTACGATTATCATTATCACAGTCGTCGAAGTACTTCGTTTCACGAGCGACAAGCTCCCTTAAACTTCCCCAAAACTTCACTCTTCTGCTTCAAGTACTCTTGCTACTCTCTCTCTCTCTTATCTTTTCTGCCTTTTTCACGCTTGTCGATTACGAATGCGAGAATAGAACGTTAGATAACGCTGTAGCTTCCATCGGGTAAAATAGAGTCGAAAGTTTATTCTGCATTAGTTAAAAATTATTAAATAAAAAATTTCCATGCAATTTTATTTAATTCTCTACAAGAAAAAAAATTTCAAGAAACGTAGGCAAATGATATTTGAACATTGCAAAGTGAAGAGAACCAAAGAGAAAGCGATCGTTGTTAGTCGACTTCGAACGGTTACGTTTCCGCTGAGGTTTAGAAACTGTATAATTATAGCAACCCCATAAATGACCACCAAAATGGTGGTTAGCATTAACGAACATAACGTTTGTGTATAGGAAAGTACGTCTCTTATCGGTGCAGGCTCAGATACGGGATCCACCGTGCTCGTGGAAATGAATCCGTTTAATTACGCGTCGCTTGGCTGGTCGAGATTCATGGTAACCGAATTTTCGGCGAATTTCTGAAAAATTCTAGCCACATTGTTCCACCGGGGAAAAAGAGATTAAACAAACGTCTCGTTTTATCTTCTCTGGTTTTTCGGAGATGAAAAACTTCCATCGACGTAATTGGTACGAAATTTTACATATTCGTGAATAATTTGTCGAATATGTAGGCGAAATTGTTGTAAAATATTTCGTGGGAGTTTGGAGAAACAGGTTCGAGATGGTTTTGATAGTTATGGAGGGTGGCGACTAATAGACACGTAGAATGGCGTACCTCATAAACTGCTCCGAAAGGCATGACCAGGCAGGCGACCATAAGATCCGCCACGGCCAAACTGACGATCAAATAATTCGCCACTGACTGCAGGTTCCGCTCGTGCAGGATCGCTGCAATCACGAACAGGTTCCCTGCAACAGAAATGTCCAGCTTGTGTCACAGAAATTCGCATATTCGATAAAAGTTACCTGAAATTCTTAACCCCTTCGTTATACGGTTTCCTTCATAATTGTATATTAAAATATTTAAATTGCCCGACCAATTAATCGAGGTACGATAAATTCAGCAAATTATTGCTCAGTTTGGTCAAGCTTGCTCCTTTCCTCTGCAATTGCAAAACAGCAAGAGGAATACCGTTACTGAGCAATTAAAGGGTTAGTCAAAGGGTTAACGTCGCAAGGAAAAGGAACGACTTAAGCTCTTGAGTCCAATCAAAAGTCTGTTATAAAGTGCTCTTGAAACATTTCACCCACAATTTGATCAGCGTGGAAAAGAGGCGTCGTTATCACGTTCGCTTATCTGCACGATTTCGAGCTTCGAGGCGGTTCGCGAAAACTTTTCTAGGCTCGTAGAGGGCCGACGCTTTAATCATAGATCCGGTTAGTTGCGCGCGGTCCTCCAGGTCCGCGTAAATAATTCATAAGCTGATTATGAAGGATTCCCGAAGAGAACTAGGGCCGGACGATTCCGTTCTACTTTCGTGAAATTCCGTGTATTACTCGCTCGAATTAATAATTCCTAACGAAGGACATGGCACTTTCGCCCCTTCTACACTATGTCAGGGACCAGATACTTGTCATAAATCAGGCAGTCTCATTCACCGTTAACCCTTTAACAATGTACTGAAACTGACGGAGTTATGATCACAATTAGCAGCGATTGTTAAGAATGTGTTAAAAACTTTATATCTTCTTGTGTGCTCGAAATTATTTGAATTTACCACATTAGGTACGAAGTATGTAATTTAAAAAATTTGTAATATTAAGTATCCAAGTCTTCTCGTATTACACTGACAATGAGAAAGGATCTTAACGTGACCGTTTTCCAGATACAATAAAATCTTAAACGGTCAAACTTTTCCCATAGATACATACATCTGACGATTCAATTGATCTCAGAGCGAAACTTCAATAGTAGACTTCAATTTCCTGTCAACTTCACCGAGCTTCCTCAACCTATACCCACCTCCATTCGCAAACACCTACTATCCACAATTTCACCTAATTATCCCCCGTCCATTTGCTAAGGTATTGGTAGTTGCTTTCGTTCGTCCGTAAACGAGGGACATTCGACCAAGGTCCGTGTCCCTAATTAGTCCTTCGACGCTGTCGTCGCTTTGAAGGCTCAGCAAACGTTTTGACAATCGAGTAATCAGGTTTATTCGTCCGCTAGGTATACTATCCTCTAAACGAGACGAATCCCCTATCCTATCATCCTCTCTCCCACTCTCTCACTCTCTAAAAACGATTCCATTCGTCGATTTTACTCTCGAGATCGAATCGAACGAGCCAACAATTAACGCAGTCGAGAGTGCACGACAAATAACACGTCACGGACGTTCATTCGATATGAAAACCTACTTCCTGTTCCAATATTTCCATCAGAAAATTCTCAAATTCGCATGTGACTATTCCGTTAATTCGCGCGACAATCGACTTTTCTACGGAACACTTTAATTCCATGATAAATTTAAAATCGCCACGCTCCTCGTCCCGATGGCTTAGCACGCGATTAACGCGTACAATTTCTAACCGATCGATCTTTAATTCCGTGTCGGAGCACGTGCGACACCGGCAGCGATTTACGCGCGAGAATTCGTCAGTGTTTATAATTTATCGCGCGTCCAGGCCGCACCCCCGACGTTCACCAAAGCCGATACCCGGACGCGTCCAGCCGCACACGCGGCCGCGCAAGTTAAATTGGTTTCTACGTGGTTTAAATCAATGTTGAAATTAACGGGCAGCCACGTTACAGGCGTCACGGTCACGTTAAACGATCTTCTACTCCATTTAAAATTAGCTAACGACGCGAACCGATGAAATTTTTATCCCACTTCCAATCTACGTTGTTTCTTCTCTATAAAAGAAACCATTTCTCAAGTAGACGAATAAGAAGAAGAAGGAGAAAATTAAATAGAAAAAGGTTTCTTCGAATCAAAATCTACACCCGAGGGATCGAGGCAACTTCGTCGTTTGAATAAATAAACGAATACACCTTCTCACGGCCCACTCTCGTGGCTCAAATAACAATGCGCAAGGTATTTGAAATCCTGTTTACGATCGGTGAATTCTTTTTTCCTTTTTTCCCCTCCGTGGACATAAAGCCAACAGATGCACGGGTGTAAATCACGGGTGAGAACCATCAGTCGGTGGCACACGCGTGCACCGGAAAAATCGCGTTCGATCGCCAAAGGGGGACCGGAAGTGGTGTTTTTTTTTACCCCCCCTATGCCAGGCTCGTCGACTTTGCTTACTAAATCGTTTGAGTGCCGGCAATCGTGCGTCACGAGCGTTTTACTGCCCTGTAAACTCGACGAGCATAGCCAGGAATAAATGAACGGTGCTCCGCGAGGCGTTTTTTTCGAATTAGAGGCTCGCGCGTTTCTCTTTATTTGCCTCGGTGGACGATTTTTCGAAATTGTTCTTCCGCCCGCGGCCGGGAAGAACGATTCCGCGTAAACTGTGGCTTTAGCCGGATTACAGTTAGAAGGTTTATACTTTTAAGGTCACCTTCGGATCGGTAAAAGGTCGGAAGATAGGTGGAAAGAGGTGTTTTAAGGATACTGGCTCGACCTCAAAATCGTTAATTAACGTACAAGTCATCTGAAGGCTTTGAGAGTTGCGTTTCAACGTCTTGAAAAGTTACAGAGTCGATTAAAAAGCTTCCCGCGTTTCGTTTGAAGAATGCAAAATAAATTCTGGATCATTTGAGAATTATTCAAGGTATGTCAAAGGTATTTAAATGTTTTCAATTGCTCGCACAAGTATTTGAATATTTTCAATTTCTGTGAAGAGCGACGAATCGTGAGATTTCTTTCGTTTCGTCGCTTAATGAGAGGGACCTCTCCTTTGGAATTAATCACGGTTCATCAGCGATGTACGCGTCAAGGAACACCGTTAATCGTGATATTAATCCTGCAACCAGGAATTTCAAAAGCCTCCCGTCCAATAAATTGGGTGTGAACTACCCGTCCAAATGCACGTTCCATCTTTCATTCCTTCGCATTCATATCTAATGACAGCTTTCTACTCCGCAGCTTCTTCCATTTAGCAAGAATCCAGTCGGTTCGTTACGGGCATTGAACCACGTTGGTCGTTAAACGTGGCCAGGACGTTTTATTATAAATGAATAGACGACAACACAGGGACAATTTCCACGCGCTCGAATAGAAAATGCGTGACGTGAAAGCGTTCCTCGTTTGTGCACACACACACACACACACACACTTATAGGTATATTACGCTACAGCTTAAGCGAGATGTTTCTGTTTCTGCTTTCAAGGCGAACTACGTGAACGCGAGAGGAATACGTAAGACCAGCCACCGATGAACAGACTCCTTAAATTATTCAATTTCTCTCCCCGACCGAGTAAGTTTACACGCTTGCGTGCGTGAACGTTTCCGAATCGACGCCAGAGTATCTCTCTAAGAAACCATTTTTTCACCATCCGCTTCTTATCTCTTCGTATTTTCGTACATAAGACAGTCCCGTTGTTCGCGGTTCTATTCGCCAAAGCTCCAAGCTTTATTACAACCCCCCCTCGACTCGAGCCTGTACACGGGAAATAAAATTCAGCGCGGATCAGCACTCGGTGGCTTTTTTCTCCCGCACGGTGATCGTAAAGCTGCGGGAAAAATGATCGAGAAATCGTGAAATTTCCGAGGTGGTGATCGCGGGAATTTCGAAGGGGAGGGATGAAAGTGTACGGAAAACTAGCTGAGAGAATGATGCACGTTGCCGGTTGAAAGTTTGGAATTATTTGTTCGATCGTATCGAACCATAAAAGGTTCTTTAACGTAACTTAATTTAAAATTTCTTCATCTTCTCCTCAAGTTCGGTGAATTTACTCAGCGACTCGAAACTCCCAATCGAGAATGCAAATGACGTCTATCGGTCAACGAAAGCCACAAGACTGCTTCTCGTTTCTTATTCCAACCCGTTGGAATAATTGATCGAAACCATCGTGAAATCGAGTTACAACAGCATCGAAATTACCCGATTCACCGGTACCACGAGATCGAACTGTCATCGCCGATTATACAGGCAATTATTCCGAAACATTGTTCCTAAAATACTGCCTGCAGTAGCCAATGCGATATTTACCGAAGCGTAACACCGGTGGTTACGGGAACAGGGATAAACCGGTGCGCCTGTAGATTAGGAAATTTAATGGGTAATCGTTGGTACATAAAGATCGACGTGACGATCGCGAGCGAAACGAAATCTTCCAGGGAAAATTCTCCGGTCACGTATCCCACGATGAATAAACATTTCCATCCGAGGCATAATAGAAGAAGATTTTCCCCGAGATGAATTCATATGGGCGTAATTACGCGTCGCGCGACAACGCCTAGTCCGCAATGAAAATTCTGACGTCGTTAACGCGGAGCATTTTGCCCGTCGTCAAGCGTCCGTAAAATTACTCTAATTTCGACACGGCCACGGATACCCGCGCAATATTCAACGGGCCGTTAGTTAGCCAGTGAACTGTACTAATAACAGAATTTACAGTCAGACAACTCCTAGAAAGGGCCAGAGAATCCAGTGCCGCGAATGAATATGTATGCCTACTAAACTCTGACAACGTCCCTCTTATAGTCGTACCTGCTAGCCTCCACTCATCCGGACAGAGACTTTTCCTCGCACAGTATAACTATACCTATATTTCACTGTTCCTCTCACGTCAAACACTGAGAACAAGGGAATCACTTTAAATCGGAACACGCTACTCTTGCAAGCAGCAGTACGTGTGTGTGTGTGTGTGTGTGTGTGTGTGTGTGTACAGTCGCAATTTGATTAGGGACGAAGCTGTTAGCTATGCAGACATTACGGTCTTAGGTTGTAAATAACATGGAGGAACTGGTTGGGCCAAGTTTTCGAACGCAACTGGTATTCCAGTTGATTCTGATGTACATAACTCTATTAGACCGATGAAATTCAAATAGGAGGGTGTTGCATTGTGTGTGGTTTGAAATGTGTCGCGGTTGCTCGAGTGAATTGTACCCCGTGAACAACTGAATGAATATTTGCCTACCGTCTATTTTCGTGGTTTTCAAACATTGTTCGTACGAGGGACGATATTTTTTTCTTTTATTTTTTTCTGCGGGAAAAGACAAAAGAGAAAAAAAATGGTCGACGAGATAGTTCAACATGGATCGACGATGCATTTTATTAAAATGAATATCGCAGACGAGAGAGAGGGAGAGAGTGTACGATGTGTTCTGTCGAGCGTTCGTTCGAGACTGCTCTCGCCGGAAACCTACTGTCATATTTATTTCCGGCCGTGTGGCATATTCACTGGCGCGTTACAAGTTTCCTACAAGCACAGGATATATAGCCAGATTGAAGTAGGTGAATTCTCGCTGTTTTCTTCCGCAGAAAATCTTCGAGAACGTCTTAAATAAACGTTCTGAGAAAAGATCTTCTTCTTCTTCTCCCTTTGTCTTTCAACTTCGACCTTTCTCTATCGCGAATACTTGTGCAAGTACGTCGAATTCTTTGGCGGCAAGACTCATGGGTTTTCGTGTAATTTCTTTGCTGGCTTTAAAGAATTTCAAGTCCAACGGGGCGGTTCGACCGCTCTAATTAAAGTAGTTGGCGGTTGCGTCCAACTATACCGCAACTCATATTTCCGGGGGAAGAAACTTTCTTTATTCTTTCTCGTTAGTTTCCATCCCCCTGGGGCTTTCGCGATATCCTACACGATCTTCTTTCGTATCGTCCGACTTGTCGTCCGACCGTTCGTTACCATTATCGTTCAGGTGGACTTAAACTGCGTTGAAACATATAGGATGCCCTTTGGTTAACATTCTCCTGCGATTTGTCGAATAAACGATGGACACAGAGACGTTCTTCAAAGGAAGAACATCGACGGACAATCCAAAGATGAAAGGTACCCCAAAGATTAAGCTCTCGAAATAAAGAGGCATCAAAGAATCGTACGAACGAAGATCGAAAATGTAAAGATAAAAATGTCAAAGTACAGCTCCGAAAAATTACCCTGCGAAGATGTAAAAAAGACAGAAAGTTAAGAAAGGAAACAGTTCGAGGGAAAAGAATACCCTGGAAAGTTAAAAAGAACAAAAGAGCCTCTACAGTTGTTAGAAAGTTTCGGAGTGTTAACAAAGAACCCTAAAAAGTAGAGTGAGAGAGTAATAACTCTAGAAAATGAAAGGGACGATAAAGAACATTGTGAAAGGGTCAATTTCAAAAATTACCCTCAGAATGAACTGGCGACTTTGAAAAGACAAATGAAGAAAGTTTAGGGCGCATGTTAATGGTCGAATTAAACGAAAGACGCGGTTTGTATCGTGATGATTCACGACACCGAGGCAGACTTCAATCCTCCACCGTCGAATGATAATACGCGGAGGGATAGCAAGCCAGTATGGCGCGGCATAAAGGTTTACGATCCTTTTCTATACAGCTTAAATAGGCCATTCAGCGTCCAAGACGACTAAACTACCTTCCTTTTACTCGGCCATCGCAGACGTATAGAGGAGACGCGGTCGATATAGAGGGCAGCGCCTATCCTTGCTATCCTTGACGCGAAAAAGACATCCTGCCGTCCTCTGTACATCCTTCTCTCTCTCTCTCTCTCTCTCTCTATATATATATATATATATATATGTGTGTGTGTGTGTGTGTGTGTGTGTGTGTTAAAGGAAGACCGTGATTTCGTCCATATCTGGTCTCTGACTTGGCGAAATCGAATCTGTCGCTTGAAAGCAGAAAAATTCCACGATTTGGATGACTCGAATTCAGGAAGCAGGATGTCCTTTTATTGATACGTACGATAAGTGGCGCTGTAATCCTTCCAACTAGCCGTTAGTGTCATTTCGTGGCTATTATCGTGGCCGAAAGGAACATCTTACATTTTTCAAAAGGATCTTCTTCTCTCCACCCCCATCCACCGTCGATGGGAAAATCAAAATCGAATTTCACTGATAGAAACCCGGCCAGAATTGTACACGAAACCGTAGAAAATTCAGCGATATCGTTTTACCAAATTGCCCCTGATATTTTCATGATAATAAATACGAAGCCCGAGAATATAAAAATGGTGCCCGCTCGATTCGATTATCGAGGTAACGTCCAACCACCGTCGATATCGCGTTTCAATTACGCATCTCCCGTCCAATATTTAGACGATTGTCGGTCGCAAAACAATCCGCTAACGACGAGGCGAATTCGTTCACGAAATGTATTAATTAGATCTACAGGCGAGCCAGTTTCAGCCTTCAGAACGAAACAATCATCGTTGCGCAACACCGAGGGGGAGTAATATTATCGGGCTCGATATCACATCTTTCTTTCATTTTACTTTCATCGCCTCACATATCCGGCACGCTTGCCGGAAACTGCGAGATTCACAAGTGCTAGCAATGTCGACCCCGGTAATTGGGTTTCCAAAGTATTGACCGCAGAGTCCAAGTTCGAAGGTCCGAGCCGGCTTAGTCCACAAATTGGGAAAAACTCGTTAAAATCGAAGGCCGGGCGAATTTGCACCGGTCAGGAGGCTTCATAAGCAGTTTACCGGTCGCTAGTATAGGAGCAGGAGAGGACCATTGGACAAAACGAGGATACAGGAAGTGGGATTTGAAAACAACTCGGCCCATTTCACCATTGAATCGCACATTCTCGTTCGAGGCTCAATTTTGGCCAGCTTCGAAACACCGTTCCCGTCTAATCGAATTCCCCTGTTAATTTTTCTTTCCTCTCGCCCTCGGTCGTTTCGCCACTTCTATCCCCAACGCCAAGATCGTCCCAGAAATTTTCACGTGTAGCAACGGAGACGGGGGAGAAAAAGGAGATTGCAGGAGAAAAGAACATAATTAACAATCTTTTCAAGACGTCCCTAATCTTGTTAGCTATTCTCAGCAATGGAGATATCGTTAAGGATTTCCCTTGGACAAATCCTATTTGCCTTTGAAGCAGCTAGAAATTAAGTAATCTGCATGGTACCTGCAGCTTATCAAACAGATTGTTCGCATGTCGTAAATGGGGGCATGTAATCCAGAGGCAGTCGTTAGCTCGTCTAATCTCGTTACTTCCTTCGACTCGTTATATTATACCGAACCAGTGTCGTCTGCTTCTCCTTCAAGAGGATCGTCTTGGATCTGTGTTCACGCGTAATTGAACCAATTAACGTATCCGCCGTAAAATCAGACTGCTTCCGTTCCAAGGATCCGACGCGATGAACAGGATAGAAATTTGGGAATTTTTCCTGAAAGGTCTATTACTAAAAATTGAACGTCTCTACGATCTTCAGAAAAAGAAAAAAAAAATAGGTAACGTCCAAAAAATTCTATGCAAATTTACTGGATACATCGTTCAAACTCCAAACTGTTTATACAACGAAAAACTCAGAAAAGGCTCTACGTATTACTTTAACGTCTCCGAAAGTGTCAAGGAAGAATAATAAATTTCCTCCGGCGGTTTTTTCAGCCGCATCAGACATGCGTTCGCGGTCCAACGGTCGCCTCATGAAATTCTAATCGAACCATTAACCAGAGGCTGTGCTGATAACCACCACGAACTTATCCCCGGACCATCGAATCTGATATTCCCAGGCGCCACTTTCCAAATCCTTCTCGAGGCCGCGGCGTTTCACGCGCGTGCATGGAGCCGTCACGCGGTTACCCTCCGTCATTCCCGATAATATATTACACGGCGCGGAAACGTGTCGGCTTTAAATTAATCTCCCATTGTAGTTGTGTGCACTGGCGTGTTGCACTGGCGCCCACGGAACTGCAACGACGACAACGGCAACGACACCATTACATCAGCCAACAGAGGAGACAGCCAGTGGGCTGTACACGGTATAATAACCGGAAGGAGGGAGCGATTAATTGAATAGACATATCCAGAGCAATTCACCGGAGCCGCAGAATACCGCCTTGGACGGCGGTGTATTTTCGTAAAACGAGTCGAATCGAACCGGAGTAATCGAACACACTCGTACCATGGGCATTTCAATGTGTCCCCGTTTCCACGTCTTAAATCAATCGGCAACGCTAACTTCGAAAGCAGGATAGGGTGGATATATCCGAACGCAATTACGCTCGAGAGTAGGGAAATTCACATACCTACCGGAGAAATGTCACGATTCCTGGATAGATATAAGGAGGGGAGAGACGTCAGATTGCCAATAATGCAAGGAATGAAATGTATCGAAGGAATGTTTGTCACGAGTGATACAGTCTCTTTCCTCGTTCGTCGATGTACAAGATTCGTGGAAAATTCGAAGAATTTTACTTCGGGTTTTCCATCGTAGATAGAAAATTTCGTTAACGAGAATTTCATCTTACGTCGAGTGTGTACAAAATTTTGCACCGTTTAACTTCAAATACTCCCGACTAATCGTCGTTTAAAACTTCGCTGTTTCGTCGAGACACAACTTCCACCCTCATTTTCCGGCTGTCTTTTATTTTTCCAGTGGAGCATTCCTCAGAGGCGGGAGGGGAGGGCCACGAAACAAATAAAACTTTCTCCGAACCGTTCTAACAACCTATCGAATCTCCTCGATGAAGGGGAATCGCGAGATGGGGATGGCGAGAGGGAGCGGAAAACTCACCGACAATAGTGACGAGTATGAGGAGGCCGAGCACCAGAGCCCTGAGGATGATCGAGGCATCGGTGAACACCAGCCCGTCCGTGGACGAGTTTCCAGCCTGGTTCACGTGTTCCTCCATGACGCGCGAGATATATTCTCTGTCCTGGCAGGCTCTTCAATGTCCGTCAGTTATCATCTCCTTAAATAACGTACCATGGTCTGCCGTCACGAGCAGATCCGCAGATATGAATCTTCTGTTCGCTCTGGCGATCTTGGCTGCCAGCAGAGATCCCTCCACGCCGAGTTAATGTCTGTCTATTGTAATTTTAATAGAAATGTCGTCGCGTGACGTTCTCGCTTCGCTTTCACGGCTTTTCTCGCTTTCCATATCGCGGAACGTTCGACACGCTCCCTTCGACCGAAGGCAGATCGAAGATTTGCTCTGTAACAGAAAAATTTGACACTTGGTTAGTACAGAAGTGAAGGTTAATTAAACGTAGCTGTATCTTTGGGATCGGTTAAAATTAACTTCTCGCCGAGACAAATGTCTGAGAGACACTGTTTACTAGAAAAATTGTATCTCCGTAATTCATGCGTAGATCTTAATGAAACAAATCAGGCAACACGACAAGATACACACGCATAGGTATGTAAAATTTGAAATCAATAGCTGCGATAATTTCGGTTCCGTAAAGTTCCGAAACCAAAAACCAAACGAAATTGGAATAATCGATCGGCAATTATTGGAATTGAAACTCTGACTGCCGGTGTGCAAGCCTGGGCCCGGGTTATAAATACGAGCAAAGGGAACGGTGTGGTGGCGTGAACGAGAGGAGGATCGTGGCAGCAAAAGAGGGAAAAAAAAAGAGAAGGAAAAAGATGGAAAAAAGAAGAGGGAGAGAGGCGTAGAGGTGTGGCAACGATGAACGAGCATCATAAAATTGCTCGATGGCGAGGTCACGTGCGCTATATTTAATTTTTCGATAGACACGTTTCATTAACTCGAGCTCGCGAACGCACGGCCGGGCTCGTTGCCTAGATTCGATTGTCGCCGGGAATCGAATTGACGTTCCGTGAATTACCGTTTCATGGATTCCACCCTCCGGTGCACCAGACGATGACACTTTTATAAAATACTTCATCAAATATCCATCGTCCATTTGGTAGTTTTCCACGCACGCAGAAAAATACCAACGGGTTTTATATATCGTTGGTTTGCCTCGAATTAACTGGACGCGAAGTGAAGTGACGTCGATGGTACTACAGTGAGACAACGACAGAAAAGAGGGGATCGTTTCGCCCCGTCGAGAAATTTCCACTCCTTCGAGACCATTAAAAAGTTAAAAGGGGGACGGATAGAGAAAGAGAGAGAGAGAGACTCGTAAAGATGAGCCGGATAAAACAGCCACTTTCGCGGGTTATTAAATAAATTTTACGATGGTTCTCTCAGCGTGGAACGCTGCTTTCCGCGACGCGTTACAGAAAAAAAGCCTGTCCCTTTCTCTTTAAAAACCCTCTTTCCATTCTCCCTCTCTCTCGCTCTTCTTTTTTTATTTTTATTCCATTTCAACACGCTCGTTGAAACGCTTTTCCGATCGCCCGTCATCCGTCGATTCCTGTTTCAACGCTTTTAATCTCCCGCTCTTGAAACCGTGCCACTCGAAACCCGTTATCATATTGACGAACGCAATAATCGTTTCCTTAATCGATGACGTGCCGACTGAAACGGCCAATGCGAAACGCTGCTCGTAAAACGCACGGATCGACGCTCGAATTACGCCTTCCCAGAAGCTACTGCTTTAACGCGATCGTTATTCTTAATTACCAACCCTTCGCGTTCCTGCTCGCGTAACACAGGCGACGAAAAAGTAATTTTAATTAGAATTCGCACCGGACAAATTTGTTAAACGATTATTGCACCTTCCTGTAGGTATTCTACTCGTATTAAGAACCACTCTCAGACTCTTTTCATCTCATCTTGCTCCGTTATTGCGATTCTCTTTAACGACAGAAACCCCGTTTTACCGATTCTGACTGTTTACGGGTTATTTATATGAACCCTTTCCAAGAGAACGAAGGTTTCTGGTACTTTTTAAACAAATTATCCTTGCCCGGATGCTCTTGTCTGGTGTATAGGTGTCTTATGATGCATGAAGGTTCGGTGGAAACACGACGAGAACAAAGGTTCGCCTCTTTCATCCGCGAATCGAACGTTGCAGCAGCGCGGAGTTGTTTCAGAGGCGAGACCTTAATTGCAGCATTATTTCGCCGATATCGTTAATCGAATAAAGCGGCAACTCAACTCGAGAAGCCGAGTATTAATTAGTTTATTCCGCGAGGTATCGGTCTGAGAGCCTCTCAGACTCTACCGAGCCGGATCCACTACCGTTAAGAAGACACGGTGTCGTGTCAACGATCATTCTTTTCACTAATCACCTAATCGTAACCCTTAAATTACACGGAATAACTCGTGAAACGAAAAATACTCAATTACGAACCAACAAATTTTACATTTCACATTACACAAATTATCGTCGAACGGAAAACATCTAAAAATCAACTCGTTGCTAAATTGGTACAAATCCTCGGTCGATTAAAGCGTTCGATCATTCCGAGAGCAAGACGGATGGAGTAGTTCAGAGAAGCAATTAGGATTAAATGGGGGATCCGTCGGGAAGACGGGTTATGACAATTCGAAAATTGCTGTTCGCCTAGTTAGATGGGCGTCGGTTGAATTAGAAATCGTTATTGGTCCAGGCCGGTTTCTAAGCGGCTTCGAGTGGCCTTCGAAAGCTGGCTGAGAGCTGAGCCAGCCGGTAATCCACGGATCTCGTAAGCTTCTGTAAGCGGAAAGTCCTCCCGAAGAGGAGGGAAGTTAGTTACACGGAGCTAATGGAAGCCAGCGGCGGCACAGCTAAACAATATGGGCAGTGACACGCTAACAAAGTTGGCCAGGCCAAGAAACGTAATTAAGGGTACAGAAGTTAAGTTAATTTGGAAATACCGAGTTACCCGAGCCGCTCGCTTCGACTGTGTGTAAGGGAGAGACAGGGAGAGAGAGACAGATAGACCGCTACAGCTCAAACTAACGGGCTTGTCTGTAAATCAATTCGATGTCACTGTGTGCCTGTTAGGCGCCACCACAAATGTTTACGGTGTGCCGGAGACGTTGAGTGAATTGAATGGTGGTTTATGCAAATCAGGAAGCCGCTCGAAAGAAAGGATTCAAGTCTCGAAGAATTATCGTTCCGATTCGCGTCATTTATATTTTCCCTTATCCTACAGTGTATTCGCTAACTTCCATACAACGTGATCGAGTTTATTCGTCGAGTAGTTACGGCGATATATCAGAATTATTCGATCTTTTATCAGACTTTATATTTCATCCCAACGATGAATTCTTCCATAAAATTCATCTTTTGAAAATTATTACAGCCGTACGATACTTCACAGTACGTCACAGATTATGTCAATTTAATAAGAAATATGTTACACCGATCGAAATCTATCGTCCATCATTCACAGCGGAAAGATCGATCGATGAATCATAAAAATTATTCCCGTCTAACAAAATGCTACATCGATGGCACGGTGTATCTTCCAGGTAATCCTGTCAGAAGCAATGAATAAATAAATTGGTAATAAAAAGCGTATCTTGCAGGAGGGTTCACGGTTCAAGATTAAACGATATAAGGTAGAATAATCCGTTGAGCGTAGCTCCTTTCAGTTTTCTCGACAAAATAACCTTCGTTACTGGCGAGAGTTCGGTCGGTATATCACGTTGAACGGTCTTCTTCTTCGGCTGGACTGCTTCTAATTAAGCAAAACGTCGGACGCACGGCTACACGATAATGCAGATTAATGCAAGAACACTCTTGGCCCTCGTGTATCGGGCCAATGAAAGTAATCGTGTTAATAGCTGCGAGGCCGGGACGCTCGTTATCCGAAAGGAACCGGTCATAAACGATGATAACGGGTGAAACTTTATTTTCCACGTTCTTGAACACCCGGAATAACAGATTCCACGTTTCCCCATCCGCCCGACCCCTCTAATGGAGGCACAAGTTTTAATTAAACGGGGAAACTACAAAATCGCGGTTCTACGTTACGCCTTAATCTGGATTCACCGCGGACTTTTCCCGATTTAATTCGCGCCAGGCAATCATTCCGAGCGATTGTTAACTGGCCACGCGAGTTCCACGTAAGCACTTAGGTTCGTTTTAGAAGCACACCTAACCCGCAAGACTTCGTCCGCCGTGGAAATATCGTGAAAAATATTTTTTTATCGCTGTGACGAATTTATCCAAGAACTTTACGTTATACATCGAAATTGAATTTACGAATGGTTCATCAATCTTCGTCTGAATCCAACTTTCCGCAGTGTTACTTCGCCATCTGTCAAGTACATTAATCTGGTCCCTTAGACAGAAGAATCATGCACTTTGCATAGAATTTGAATCCAGAATTCGGTACGAGAACATCAATCACACAAACAGTCCCTCCTATTTCTACCAAAAAACAGTTCAAAGTACACCACTGTCTGAAAGTCAGCAAAGACTTCGATGTGAAAATTCTATTTTACAAACAAAAAGAAATCTATCGCTTGCCAATGATTTATTTCACGAAGGAAATATCGTATCTCATTACTCGCTACAACAATAGCCTCTTCCACGCGAAACTCCGCTATCATTACTCCGCGACGAAAGACTCCCTTCAAAGTTATCAGGTGTCTCAGAAGCTTTTGAACGAGGCTGTATGTACGTCAGGAAGCCACCTTCCAGACATATTAACGGAACTTTTACCGGACACCGTCCGACTTGAATTACGAAACGCAACTAAATCCCTGCCTCCTAAAGCCTCCTAACGCCAGGTCCCGCCATTGTCGCCAGACTTTACAGCTGGCCGCAATATTTGCCACCCTCTCTCCAGGGAGAGATCTCGAAGTGGAGTAGTAACGTAGCACGCGAGAAATCGGAAGCTAGGTAGACGGTTCCCGGTTCCAACGGTTTCCCTATGAATAAAATATCAATCGAGCGGAGTACGGGTACGATCCGTTTTTAGCGAATGAAACGTTCACGTTTCCCTAGTTCGAACTCTAGCCAGCCGGCCAGCTTTTCATTTCCAGCCGTGTACATTGTG